TTAGAACTTATAATATATTAATAATCTCCAAGTGTTATTTCTCTCATTTAGTCTATCCAATTGCATGGTGCCATGCAACCCAAATGGACCATGCCGGTCGGGTTAAGTACATACCAGAAATAGTTATGGACTTAGACACCTTATCCAACACTTGCACCCTAGGTCAGAGAGCCAGAGAACTCGAGAGAGGACAACATGATGAAAATGGTACAACTCATCATGTCAATTAACCAAAGAAGGGTTACTACCCATGGCCACAAAATATATACTATAGAATGTAGGGCATAACTGACCTAAAGCATACTGGGTACCAAATGATTATAACCAATCAAAGGATGTGTGAAAATCCTAATCAGCTCAAAGAGCTATCCAACCTGTTAATCAGACATTTTAAATCTCTAACAAGTTTACCTAGGGCAATGGCACCCTTAGGTTAAGGGTAGGAATCATGGGAAGAAAAATATTATAGGTAAACATTTATCCTTTCTATATCTCTCAGTGGGTGTAGCTTTCCCATTTCTAATCCCGTTCATGTTTAGAAACTGGGTGTAGCAATATGTAACCGAAATACAAGCATTTATGCTATTGAGTTGTTTCAAAGGTCGTAAATAGTAACAGTTCTCACTCTATCATTTGAAATCGGTAGGATTTCAATTCTCTCTCCCTTATTCGAAAACGGTAGGATTTCAACTCTCTCTCTCTCTAACACTTAAAAACATGTAGGATTTCGGTAATCGACCACCCTCTATCAATAGGGAATTTATAGGATTTCAGGAATAAGTATGCTATCATACGATACGACTCATACGTGCTCGTTTATAACAAAATTGTTATTAGTACATTTCCTATCATCGAAATTCATGCATATCTGCTATTTGATACTAGTATCGATGGAAGCTTCATTGACTATAAGATTAGAATCATACTAAACCGTAAATCCTGCAACGAAAAGTAGAAGGCATCTTAGGAACACTTTCCAATTGCCATCTCACCTTGAATAACCACATCTTTCCCATCAACCTTATACCCATGACCATTGGAAGTTCCGATGAGTTTATCAGAATGGACTAGTTATCACCCTCCGATCTGAAGTTCTATGCTACTAGGAAGTCGACCGACTACCCCCACCCAACGATGGAGCCCTTGTGATGTATGAAGATAAATCAAGGAAGAATCTAAGAGTCATTTCTTGTATGAAGGCAAGAAAGTGCTTACGTAAAAGATGCCTCGCTTTCTTGGCCCACATGATGGATATGCAAGGCAAGGGTAAGGAAATCAAAGATATCCTACAAGCGTGCGATTGCCCAGACGTATTCTCAGAGGATCTACCTGGACTACCCCCAGGTAAGCAGGTGGAATTCCTAATCGACTTAATCCTGTGTTTAGCACTAGTGGCAAGATCTCCTTATCGCCTGGCACCATTGGAAATCCAAGAACTATCCAGTTAATTCCAAGAACTAATTGACAAATGCTTTATCCAACCAAGATTTTCACCTTGGGAGCTCCGGTGTTGCTTGTCAATGAGAAGCATGGATCGTTCACGATATGCGTCAAATATCGAGAGTTGAACCAATACCTACTCCCGAGGATCGATGACCTAATCGATCAGTTGCAAGGACCTCGCTACGACTCGAAGATCAAACTAAGATCTGATATTCATCAACTCAGAGTTCAAGAAGAAAACACTCCAGATACGACATTTAGGACCTGGTACGATGACTACTCATTTCTTGTTTATGCCCTACGAGTTGACCCATGCACCATAAATGTTCATGGATATTATGAACCGAGTGTGCAAACCCCATTTGTACAAGGTCGATATTGTCTTTATTGATGATATTATAACAAACTCACAAGCCAAGGAATAATATGGCTAGAATTGCGTTTAATTCTGGAACTACTAAGGAAGGAGAAACCTTATGCAAGGTTCCTAGAATGCGAATCATGGATCAACAAGGAGCGTTTCCTTGATCATGTGGTCAATAGCAAAGGAATTCGTAGTGAACCTTCAAGGATCAAAGCAAACACAGATTAAAAAAAAAAGCACCAACGACATCAACCGAAGTACGCTAATTATTAAGGCTTGTGGGCTATTACTAGAGATTCATTAAGAATTTCTCAAAAATAGCCAAGCCTCCAGCTGCTCTACCCAGAACGACAAGAAATCTGATTGGGGAGACAGTCAAGAGTCTGGCTTCCAGAGATTGAAACAATCATCATACAGTGCACCGATCCCGCCTATCCCTAGAGGAAACGTAAGGCTTCGTTGTATTATGTGATGCCTCACGCCAAGGATTAGGATGCATGCTAATGCAAAGAAATAAAGTCATTGCAAACGCACCCAACCAACTCCATCCAAACGAGGCAAACTACATTACCCACAACTTGGATTTAGAAGCGATAGTGCTTGCCTTAAAGATTTGGAGGCACTACCTATACGGAACGAAGTGTGTCGTGTTCACCAACCACAAAGGCCTTCAATACATCTTAGATTAGCAAGAGCTCAACATGAGACAACGAAGGTGGGTAGATTTGCTAAATGACTACGAATGAGAAACTCGTTATCATTCTGATAGGGTTGATTTCGTAGAAGACGCTTTTAGCAGAAAGGAACAAGCAAAACCACTTCAGGTGAAGGATCTAACCCTAACAATCCGCTCTAATCTCACCACCCAAATTCAAGCCGCCTAGCTGGAAGAACTCGGCCCGAGAATATCCTAGAAGAAAACCTACAAGGAATGGACAAGCATTTCAAAGCGAAGAAAGGCAGAACATAATATTTGATGAACTGCATTTGGACCTCGGGGTTTGGTGAAGTAAAAAAAAATCTAGTTTTAAACAAATCTCATAAGCCGAGATATTCGACACATCTCGGGATCCGACAAGATTCATCTCGATCTTATGAAGCTTTATTAGTGTCCTAAAAGGAAGGAAGAGATTGCCACATATACCCGTAAATGCTTGGCTTGCTCTAAAAGTCAAAGTAGAGTACTAGAACCAATCAGGAATACTATAACAACCATTGATTCCATAATGGAAAGGGGAACACATAGCCACGGACTTCATAGCAAAGTTCCCGAAGATTTCGATCAGTTATGACACCACATGGATAGCGATTGAAGGTCTAACAAAGTATGCTCATTTTATTAGCCATAAAAGAAACTGACAAGTTGGAGAAACTCACCATGACATACATCATGTAAGTAGTCAAACTGCACGGAGTACCAATATATATTATCACAGACCGAGATATCAAAATCACTTTCAGGTATTGGAAAACATGCAGAGATCTCTAGGAACCAAACCAGACATGAGTGTTGCGTATCATCCTCAAATAGATGAACATAGTGAAAGGACGACACAAACTCTGGAAGTCATGCTTCGGGCTTGTGTGCTAGACTTCTATAATACATAAGATATTCATTCATCGTTAGTGGAGTTTTCATACAACAATATTTATCACACCGGCATGCAAGATTCCCCATTCAAGGCCTTGTATGGACGCAAATGTCGTTCTCCGTTACGCTAGGCAAAAGTTGGAGATATCCAACTAGCTAGAAAGCATATTGGAGATACTTTACGTATTGGCCCCAAGATCATTCAGGAATCATGGAGAAGATCGTTCAAATCAAAGGAAGGTTAAAGGCTGCACACCTACAGTAAAATTCCGATGGAACTCTCGTAGAGGGCCAGAGTGTACTTGGGAACGCGAAGATCAAAGGAAGCAAACGTACCCGCAACTAAACAAAGATTCTCCCTCTACTAGTAGAACAAAATAATAGTAGAAACAATATAATTTCGGGACGAAATTTCCTTTAACGGGGAGGTAATGTGACCTCCTAGAATTTAGGTATGAATCTATAAACAGTCAAATTGTTGCGAACCTTTTGTACCTCGACCGATTGAATATTAATGCATATTTTTGTAGAAATATAATGTCATTTTAAATACAATAAGATATGAAATTGTATCTTATCTCCAATTATGGAAAATGTCGAACAAATTTCGAAGCGCAAATCGTAACATTAGTTAATGACTGAGAAACTGAAATTTTGTTATTAATCGTCTTTAAACAAAGAAAATATTCTAGACTCGTAGTACTTGTTTCCCTGATCGCGGATATATAAAGAACGTCGAAAATAGAGTTTGTATGCAAAATATATGACCATTTAAGAAAAAAAAAAAAACCAAACCAATATAACACTGACTTTATCTTATTTCATAAACTGTATTAATCAGTTGAGGCATCTGCGCACATAAGATGAAAATTCCATGTTTAGACTCATACTAAAGTCTAATATATACAATGCTATAGTTAAAATATTTTTAACAAAATACTTACAAACTCGAAAAAAAAATTGTTCGGGTTTGGGAGCCTTTGAACTTCAAACTATTATTCGTCAAGTACCCCTTAATTTATCTAAAGGAATAATAAAAAAAAAATAATACTTAAATAAACATAAAAAAAAAAACCATGAATAAATAAAATAAAAGTAATAATACGCATGTTTAAAGAAATTTATTTCTTGAAAGCATATTAGTTTAGGGGCAGATTTGAAATTTCAATAAATTTATTTCACCAAAGCATATTAGTCTAGGAGCATATATATAATTTCCTGAAACTAATTTGGTGACAATATATGAGATTAGATAGGATTGGTTAGAGTCCAAATTACAAGGACCATTTATGTCGAAACTGGGAAGATTGGATCTTTTTCCTCACTGCATGACTGCATTATGCAGTCTGCATATGACTTAATCATTTTTCCTCCGTTGATAACTGATGTACAAACGAATCTTAGAAAGCCAATTTGTTTTACCCCTCAAATGTATCCCTTTAACTTATCTGATAAATCTCTTTCCATTCTTTATCTTAAAAGCTCAAATCGTTGGTGAGATAGGAACCCCGATTTGAAGTTCCACCATATCCCCACCATAAAAACAGCATTGCACCACCGTGAGCCGCCTACTGCCACTACTCTTGGGCAACCTCCTCTTGATCAGAAATCATCCCAACACCACCCCATTGTAGTCCGCCTCTTACAACCTCTCCCTCTCGCCGGAATCCGCTCGAAACAAAGGAGAAAACGGGCAAACTCGTCGACTACAATCGACTGCCACCCATCGCTGACGCCCACTTCATCACTCAACGTTGTTGCTGCTGTCGGAATTCCACCCCTCCCACCATCTGCCATCTTCTTCGCCCCTCTCTCGTTAATCTCGCCGGACAAAACCGAGGGGCAGAGCATGGGAGCTTCCGCTGTGTGCCACCTAACACCACTCCCTGACATCCTTCCTTTGGGGTTGCTGCAACCATGAAAACTCCGATCAGAAATCACATTCCACCACTATGAATAAATCGACCACCACCTTATACCCCCTCCTCTCAATTGAAAATCACCACCAAACACCACTCCCATTTATTTTCTCCGCTGATTTGGACCAGAACCCAACCTAAAACCAGGCGGGAAGAGGCCATCGGAGCTCTGCCACTCACCTACATCCCCGCTCACTGACCACCGTCGCCATTCTCCGACGCCATCTCCGCTGGGATGCCTCCGGTAAGTTATCTCCATCCTCTCCATTTCGTTCCGATGACCCACTTTCGAGCATACAGCCGAGAACTAAGAGACCCAAAGAACGGGTCTCGTTCCAGTTCATGTACCTGTAGCGAGAGAAAGAAGACGACACTGTGTAAACTTTTATTCAGCTCATTTAAAATAGACCCTGAAGATGTATCAAGTTACCAATCAGACCCCCGTCTTCCAAACTTGAATTCAAAATAAACAGAATGGCCCCTCTCATGTAATTTCCTTACAAACTGACTCCAAACTCCTAAACTATCATTAAAATAATCAGGAACAGCCCCTTTCCTCGAAATTTTTTTAGCAAGATGGGTACAAAACTGTAACTTAGGCTGAGAATATGCACTTTCAGCCCCTGTTTTTGAAATAATTTACGAGATCAGTCCCTTGTTGAAAACTTTTAGCAAGATTAAACCCTAGAATTTAATTGTTTTAATAAAAACCACTCCATACCTAATAATTAATATCAAAACTACCCTTTTGGTTATTAGGTAAAATTTAATAGAACCGGTGATTTGTTTTAAGAGCACAGAACATCACAAAACGACCTTCGCAACAAATTTCACCCTCGAGACTCGTTCATGCTTCAAGGGTGAGTGTTACGGTCCCTTTTTATGTTTTAATATTTTGGGGGGGAATACATGTGAAATATATATAAATATATTTTTCGGTTATGAAATGTGTTTATAATCATGCTGAATATATATATCGGCTATGGAATACACATATAAAAACATATATCTAGTTTTAATATTTAATATTGTCAAAATAATATATTATAAACCGATTTCTTTACGATGTACATGTGTTTAAAAATATTATTAGTCATGTGCATAATTTATTTCACTTACATCGAGCATGTACAAACATATTTGTCAATTATATATGTACAATTTATAACAATTATATCTTAGAAATAATTCATGCATGTGAAGAAGCATTTTATCTATTTAAGCGAGTGACATACATTTTTACGGATTTATCGATCTTATTCAGCTTTTATAGTGAAACTTTACCGTATAACCTAGTTAATGGCCTCTATAGTGAGACAGTATTCATTACCTAAGTTTAAACACTTAGTATTCCCATTTAACTATAACCGTTAATCCTCGGAGCGAGATACGTATGTATAGATCTATACGGGTTGACACCCCCAGCTGCGGTTGCTAGCTACAACCTCGACTGATCAATCGAAGCAGGTGCATATTTATCTTTAGTATAACTACGACGTCTAATGAAGCGTCGTGCAGGGGTTATAACTGGTCACATAGCTCGGTTATAGGACTCACTATAGGCATTAACTAGACTCTTTAACTAGAAACCACGGATTCGGTTTCTCTGTGTATCAAGCATTTTAAGTATGGACTTACTTATGGTATAACTCTTTATCAAGCATTTTAAGTATGGATTTACTTATGGTTTAACTCTTTATCAAGCATTTTAAGTATGAGTTTACTTATGGTTTAACTCTTTATCAAGCATTTTAAGCATGGTTTTACTTATGGTTTAACTCTTTATCAAGCATTTTACGTATGAATTTACTTATAGTTTAACTCTTTACCAAGCATCTCAAGTATGGATTTATCTATGGTTTATCTATTTATCAAGCATTTAAAGTATGGGTATACTTATGATTTATCTCTTTAACAAATATTTTAAGTATAGATATATTTGTGATTTAACTCTTTATCAAACATGGTTTTAACCACACAAGAAATACTTTCTAGACTCATAAAGTATCATTACTGCGGTTAGCAGAAAACCTGTAACTCTCACCAACCTTGTGTTGACCCTCAAATCACATGTATTCTCAGGAGATCAGTGAACCAGCCTTTGACAGAAGATTTGTTCATGGATTTTCAGGCAATCTAGTCTCATTTAGTTTTTGCTATGTCGGTCTACTTGTTAAGGCGAATTTATGAACCTATTAATATATGTATGAACCTTGTTTTCGAACTTCAAACTTGAATGTAACTACTATGTTGTTATTGTTGTAACTTGTGATGTATATTCAATTTGCTTGGGATCCATGAACTAAGTCGCGCAGCTCGGCGTATTCCGCCGCCTCGGCCGGGGGTGTGACAATCTGACTCTGAGCCTGAAGTCAACAACCTACCGCTAGTAAGCCAAGCCCCAAACAACCCCCGACCAGCTTTTCCAGGTCCTACACCCTTGTGGGCAACCAACTTGAATCACTGGAGCGATGAACAGGGTCAACCCTTACCTTACTTTGGGGACCGAAGCTTTTACAACCTCAGCGAAGGTGGCTCTGCGGATCGAGCTCTACCCGTCATCATCCGCAGAATAGCCCGTAATGATGAACAAGGTCGAGCAGCCATCGACCGAGTCATGGAGATTGATGCCAATTCTGGTGTCAACACAGTCCGCATCCGCCGTCTCGAAGAAGAAATGGAAAGGACCAGGAGAACCAACGAGACCCTGCAGCAACAACTGGCTGCCTCTCAAGCCGAAGTCATAGAACTTCGAGCTCGTCAAAGGGCTCATGAACGACACCTTCAAGAAGTGGTCCGTCAAGTGGAGACCTCAGGGTTCGCCCGAGGAATTCCCATCGCCGTTAGAAGATGTCTAGTACATCTTTATCTTTTGGGTTAAGGATTAGCCTTTAGTATCTGTGCTCTAAGTAGCACTTGTCTGTAAAATATTCCTAACTTTCAGTACTCTAACTAGGAATCTAGGAACTATCAAACTTTCTGTATGGTATGATGTAAGACCTACTGTTAGGTCGATTTTCCTTGAACTCATTACATCAGTAATACCAGTATTATTGACAACTACCTACTCTGTGGGAAAAATCTGTACACTTGTGCTTTCCTACTAATCTTCCTTGTTGTTGTGACCTCAAACACTCATTCAACTGTTGGGCTATGATTAGTTGGTCCATGTGTCACTCTCACCTCTTTTACAATTGATTCTTACCATTGCGTTTATCTTTATGAACTTATAGCTGAAAGATGCCTCCTCGCAAATCTCCTAGGAATAATCCTGCACCTCCACCTCCTTCTCCGATCATCAATACTGCAGCCCTGAATACTGATGTAGCTGCAGTAGTGGCAACTGCCATGGCACAGTATCACTCTAGTGATGCCAGCAGAGGTGGAACCCCTGTTAACTCAATTCCTGTTGAAACCCCTGTGCGCTCGAGAGAGTGCTCCTACAAGGATTTCACCAACTGTAAGCCGATGTCCTTCCATGGCACCGGCGGAGTCATTTCCTTCTTCCAATGGTTCGAGAAAACTGAATCAGTCTTCGAAATCTGTTCATGCCCTGCTGCGAGCAAAGTCAAATATGCCGCATGCACCTTTGAAGGAAAGGCCCTAACGCGGCCACGTTAAAGCACTGAATCTCGTAGTGGCGAATGATATGGGCTGGGAAACCATGAAGGACCTCATGATTGAGGAATACTGCCCGAGGGGCGAAATCCAGAAATTGGAACAGGAACTTTGGAGCCTAACCATGAAGGGCACCAACGTAGTCGCTTATACCGCCAAATTCAGCGAACTGGTGGCACTCTACCCCAATATGGTTCCCATTGAAGGGAAAAAGATCGAAAGGTGCATATGGGGGGGGGGGGTTGGATCGGTTTGATCCGATCCAATCAAGTGAATCCAAATTGATTTCGGTTTTCAAAACATGGATCTGAATAGTCCAAACTAAATTCAAATCCGATCCGATCCAATTACAATTCGGTTGGATCGGTTTTTATAATTCAGTTTTCAAAAACCGAAACATTTTAAAACGACATATAATTATAATATTACCCAATTTTACACAAGAAGAGAAAAAATTTATTTAGTTTTGATTTGAAATTTACGTACAAACAACTACTAAGCAGATATATTATAGTTAAATATTTTATAGATACAAAATTTTTGAGAGATAATACATATTGATGTTTTTTTATCGGGTGAAATGTTTTGAACCTATATGAAAAAATAAATTACAAAATCAATAGATAACTATAAATATATATTATAAATAAATAAATAATAAATGCTTATTCGGTTTTTTGGACTATTTGGTTCTTATTTTATAAACCAAAATCAATCCGAAATCCAAAATAATAATTCGGTTTTGTTAAAAACCAATCCAAAAATCCGAATATCCGAACCAAATAGTCCAATCCAAATTGTCCAATTGGACAATTCGGTTTTATTCAAATAGTGAACAACCCTAACCTTCGACAGTGCCAAGCGATTGGCATAGCGACTCATTGACCATGGAGTCAAAACCCCTGCAACAACAACCACCCTAGCCATCCCAGAACCCTCCAAACCCTCTGACACTAAGCGGAAGTTCTGGGAAGAGAAGAAGAGACAACGAGCTGCCAAAAAGCGGCAAGTTGTGGCTGTGCACGCCGCGATAACCCCTGCTGCTCCTACTACTCCGGTGAGGCAGTATGCTGGAAGTTTGCCTAAGTGCAACAAATGCAACTTCCACCACAACGGCCCCTGCCGTGAAATGCAGTGCTCTAACTACAACAGGAAAGGACACACCATCCGTTTCTGTAAATCCCCGACGAGGCCTATCACCCAAGTCCCCAGCTCTGGCGCGAGCCCGACCTGCTATGGATGTGGTGAAATAGGCCACTATAAGAGGGACTGCCCCAAAGCGAAGAATGATGGCGGAGCAGGGAGGGTACTAGCAATAGGCCATGGGGAAGCAATTGCTGACCCGACGGTGGTAACTGGTACGTTCCTCCTCGATAACTCATATGCATGCATTATGTTCGATAGTGGAGCGGAGCGAAGCTTCGTGAACCATAAATTTACTCGCATGCTTAAACAACAACCACACACACTTAAGGAACTGTTCACAATAGAAATGGCTAATGGAAAAACAGAAAGTACAAATAGCATATACTTAGGAAGTACCCTAACTTTAGATAACCATTCATTTCCAATCGACCTTATGCCAGTCTCGATCAAAAGCTTTGATGTTATCATCGGCATGGATTGGTTGAGTCTTCATCGTGCCGACATCATGTGCTACGAGAAAGCAGTCCGTCTAAACCTCCCGTCTAATGAAACTCTTATCATCTACGACGATAAACCCGGT